AAAGGGCCGGTCAAGGACAACCCGAAACATGATCTCGCCGTAGAAAAATCACGACGGGGAGGTTTTCGGCCATTCCCGGCCTCTGGGGGCTCTCGCCGGGCCCAAGCACCGTCCAGGGACGACCCAGGAAGAAAAACTGGTCCCATGGAACGGGTTGGGTTTTTCGGGGACCGCGTATTGAAAAAATCAGGGCGTCGCATGGCTGGGGGACGGGGATCAAATCCGTTCCAGAGCGCTCTGGAACGCTCTCAGAAAGCGTTCCGGAGCGCTCTGAGAAGGCCGCGGCTCCGGAGACATCCTCCAGAGCCGCCAGATCTCTCAGATGCTCTCGATTCCTTATCCTCATCTGATTTTTCCCGGAAAGGGCGTCGGCCCAAGGTTCTCTTTTAGTGGGTTTACCCCCGGTTTTAACTTGAAGGGGGCCGGCGAAAGTATTCGGCGTAAGTAACGAAGTAAAGTGCTTATTTTCAGTCGAAAAAGTGCGTTTCGTGCGTGCCCGCTCGACCCCCGGTTTCGACTTGAAGAGGGCCGGCGAAATTATTCTGCGTAAGTAACGAAGTAAAGTGTTGATTTTCAGTCGAAAAAATGCGTTTCGTGCGTGCCCGCTCGAGGAAAGTGCGCCCCCCATCTCGGATCCTCAATCAAAAACTGGGTCCGCAGACCCCCGTTTTCCCTCGTAAAAAAAGGGTGCGGAGCGTTTCTCGCAGAATCCTCGACAAATAACGGGGTCTGGAGCCCCGACCGCGACGCGGAAAAGCGCCCCGCGCGCAGGAATTCCGAGGATGTCTCGCGCGTGCCGCGTCCCGCGCGCAGGAATTTCGAGGATGTCTCGACTAATTCGTTTGGTTTTGCATGATTTCTTAGAATGTTGGCAGGATGTCTCGAGCGAAACGTTTTTTTTACTTAGTTTGTTGAGGATGTCTCAAGGGAAACGCTGGTTTTGCAAAATTTGGGGATGTCTCGAGCGGGGGCTTCGTGGGGGGCCAGAATTCAAAGGATGTCTCAGGCGAAATGCTTGTTTTCGTGTCCCGCTCGCAGGAATTCCAAGGATGTCTCGCGCGTGCCGCGTCCCGCGCGCAGGAATTTTGACGATGTCTCCACTAATTTGTTTGTTTTGCTAGGATGTCCTTGGATTTTGACCAGATGTCTCGAGCGAAACGCTTGTTTTTCATAATTTGTTGAGGATGTCTCGAGCGAAACGCTGGTTTTGCAAACTTGGGGGATGTCTCGAGCGGGGGCCTCGTGGGGGGCCAGAATTCAAAGGATGTCTCAGGCGAAATGTTTGTTTTCACGTCCCGCTCGCATGAATTCCGGGGATGTCTCGCGCGTGCCACGTCCCGCGCGCAGGAATTTTGAGGATGTCCCGTAGCGCGTCCCCTTGGCACGTCCTACGGTGCGACCCCATGGCACGTCCCTTGGCACGTCGCCTGGCGCGTCCCTTGGGACGTTTCGCGGCGCGTCCTCCTGGCATGTCCCCCTGTCAATTAGCTCTGGGGCAGCTACTATGTGTTCAGGCAGCTCGAGCTTCAGATCCAGATCAGTTCGGTTAGGACTCGGATGCAAAGGAAGACTCGATCCACGACGCTATAGAGCACAACCGCGGCATGGCACATCGCAATTCAGCACGGTGCAGCACAGCACAGCCCTCGGCACGGTACATCAAGATCGATACAATCAGCATTGCACTTGCCCGTCACCCAATCAGGTGTCTTTGAAAACGTTGCCATGCGTTACATTTCTATATTCCTTTCTGGGTCCGTGGGTCGATCATGTTTATCCTCGTCCTGGCTTCGTCTCACGTGGGCCTGTCAGGGGCAGCCGTAGGAAGGCTCCCAGGGCGCCACTGCGAGGCGGTGAAGGGAGACAGCGGGGGCGTCCAAGGGGGGGGCGCCCGAGTGGAGGGGGGGCGCAGAGCATGGCCGGAGGCACGTGCGCGGCCCAGCGGGGGGTGGGGCGGGGAGGCATTGAGTATGTTTTTCTTTAGATCGAGGCAAGGTTACCTGCATGGCGTTCACCCCCGCCCCCCCTCGCCCCCCTTCAATCGAACACGAGCGTGCAAGTGCCTTTCGACCTGCGTGATTTCCGCATGTCCAATTGTTTTCGCCTTGCTTCAGGCTCAGCCCCCCCCGTCCATGCAAATAACCTTGCCCGGTTCTAAAAAACAGGATCAATGAAACGAGAAGAGGCGCCATGGAATCTGGGAGATATCATGGCCCCCGCCGCGTGATCCACCCAGGACGAAGCCACGACGAGGATACATTCGGGCGAGGACCGATCGAGAATCTCTGGAATCCGGCGGCACTGGACGATGTCTCGGGCGCCGCGGCCTTCCGGAGCGCTCTGAGAGCATTCCGTGTGGCGGCAAGCCTGCCCTCAGGGCCTGCCCGTCTCGGCAAAGCCCCGATAAGCGCTCCCGCCTCCTGGCCGCCGCCGCGCCACAGGAGGTGCAGCAGATCGTTGGATCTCCGGATGGGCCTCACCCTGATAGGGCCCGCGAGGCGGAGGAGGAAAAGGAGGAGGAGGACGAGCAGGAGGAGGAGGAGGAGGAGGAGGAGGAACGCTCTGGAACGGATTTATCCTCGTCCTAACCCCGCCCGACCATTTCCCCTAGTCATCACCCGCCTCTCGGTCGCCCACGACTACGCTCTGGCGGTGGACCGATTCGGTCGACCATTCTCTCCCCGGATCGCTTTTCCACACCAGCTCTGGGCGCGGATTGCACACACTGCTCGTTCTCGGCAGGTTTTCGAAGAAATTGCGGGCTGGGTCTTTGTCAGACATCTTGGCAGGTTTCGGGAAAAAAACAGGGCTGTGCAGTTACTTGTCAAACGTGCACACATTCGAGTGGCAATACTCCTGAGGAGTGCGCTTGATTTCCACCGATGCATGTTTTCCCCCCCACCCCGCCGCTCTCACCTGGCTGGGGACCGTGTGTCCTCCTCTACCCCCCCCACCTGCACCCCACCGCCCCAGTGGCGCCTGCGTTCCACGGGCTACGGCTATTTGTCATTCCACCTGGACCCCGTCTTTTCTTTCTCCTCCCCTCCCCTTTCCCGTATTCAAGGATCTGGGATTTTGTGTCCCACCTGTACCCATATGCGATGCGGACTGGAGCATCGACGACTGGCGTGGCACGCCCTGTCTTTACCTGCAATGGGACCTTGTGTTCTACCTGCACCCATATAGGGGCTTGCCCTCCACGTGAGCACCCTCGGTGCAGGCTGACGCGACTTCGGCTGGCGCGAGATGCCGGCCTCTCTCCTCCCTGTTCGCTTCGCCCCCCCCCGCTCGCTCCCCCCCCTCCCATGGCGGCAGCGCCCGGCACACCTTGCCGCCTCGGCGGCCCCGCTCGCCTTGGCGCTGCGCGGCTCAGGCCCGGCCATCGGCCACGCGGACGTCAGCGCATCGTGTGTGGCACCTGCCCGTCTTCACGCGCTGACTGTGCAGGCCAGGTTCCCTCCCTGCACTCCACCGACATCCTGTCGGACACGGACGGCCCTGTCTCTGGCCGCACCTCTTGCTGGCTGCTCCCAGGACGTGGATTGGACTACCACCCCAGGCCGCTACAGACCACCCGGTGGCACAACGCTGCACATCGCCTTCGTGGTCCTCCTTTTCTCCTGGGCCCCCTCCTCACCATCCGGTGGCACGACGTTGCTCATCGACTTCATGGTGGATTTCTCCACCCTGGACGTCGACCTGGTCGCGTACAACGTCTTCTTATGCAGCACTTGACGATGGTGTTTACGGAGCGCCGTTGACGGCAACACCACACCGCTCACCCTCCGGATCTTCGCCTCCGGCTCCTGTCCAAGGCGTTCCTTTTCCTGTGCAAGCTCTTCTGCACCGCCTGCACCCCGGCCCGCCCTCTGGCCGCCTGAGGCCCCGCCCGCCTGTGCCCTGTCTCCCCAATTAGAGCTGTGCGTAGCCCGCCTAGCTTTTACCGGAAGAGGTTCGCTCTCGCCCCGAAGACCAAACAAGTTTTCCTTACTGCACGAATCACGCCGTTCCCACAAGTGGAACGATACGCCTTACGGCGCTCGATCGGACGTCTACGGTTACTGGCGGTGGACGTATCCTGAGAGCCGACATTGCGAACAAACAGCGCAACATCGCGAACAATCAAGACCGGAACCCTGGCCCATCTGTCTACTGCGTTTCTCGAGCTGGATCGATTCGAAGACGGCCCCGGGGCCCGAAAACGAGCGTGAGCGCTTGGCGTGACAAAAACAAGAGAACGCCGGTACATAACATGGTCGTGCGGGGTAAGTGCCGCAATCCTAGGGGTACGAACAATGACATGAACAAAACAACTCTTAGGTCCCCGCGGTCTCCTCATCCTCATCCCCCCCTCTTCCTCCTCCTCCTCCTCCTCCTCCTCCTCCTCCTCCTCCTCCTCCTCCTCCTCCTCCTCCGCATCCCTCGTCATCCTCCTCCTCCTCCTCCTCCTCCTTCTCGCTCGCCACGATCACACAGTGATGCAATATGGGCCGGCGGAATGAGCAAAGCGGGCGCCTCCAGCGCCGATCCGAGAAATCTGCGCGGACCTTCGAGTTGTTATGCTTATGTCATTGTTCGTTCCCCTATTCTAGCCTGCCTGCACCGCCGACGAAACCACAAAGCGGAGGCTCCAACAAGTGCGCGTTCTGTTACTCTGCTTCGCACACGCACCACGGCACATGGCATGACTGACCGACTGAGTGAGGCCATGGCCAGGGCCGCGGGAGAGAGGGCGGAACAGTGCAGGGTGGTGAACGGGAGCCTGGCAGACACGCGAGGGGAGACTCGAAGGCGAAAACGAATCGGAACATGGCCGTGCAGGAACGGCATTGGCCATGTGATGGGCCTGTTATCCACCACCACCACCATGGGTTGGAGGGGGAAGGAGGTGGAGGATGAGGAGGAGGAAGAAGAGGAGGAGGAGGAAGAGAGAGGCCTCCTACTTATGGTGATGGTGGCGGTGGTGGAAAACAAGCCCACCAGGCCACCCAGCGGCTCTCCTCGAAGCAGCACACGGTGGCTGCGCCAGACCGCCCAGAGCCGGGCTCGCAGATCATCGGCGACATGAAGGTGACGTGGTGCACGCCTGGGATCGGCTGGCTGGCTGAGAGCCCGGAGGAGGAGCAGGAGGGGGGGGAGGAGGAGGAGGAGGAGGAGGAGGAGGAGGAGGAGGAGGAGGAAGAGGAGGAGGAGGAGGAAGAAGAGGATGAGGAACAGGAGAAAAAATAAAATTGCCCTGGAGGGACTCCTTCCCCTCCAGGCCCTCCTCTTCCCCTGCCGGCCCTCCGAAGGGCCAGGCAGGGGCTCCCTGGAGGCAAGCAGGGTGTTTCTTGGCATGGGCTTCCGAAGTGCCTGCATGCTGGAGCAGGGCTGAACCATCGCGGATCTGGCGACCGCCTAAGCAAGGGGTTATCATGGCGGGGCGGGAGGGGAGTTTCCCTTCGCTCTCCTCCCCCAGCGTTAGGTCGGGCATGTACCCCTACAGACGGAGCTTGAACGAAAAATCCAGCATACACATTCAAACATCACCCTAAAGTAGTATAGTTTGAAAGCATCGTCCCCTGACGATTTGTTTTACTATTTTTGGGCATTCCTCCTGTAGGGGGACAAGCCCGACTTAATCCTGCACGGACCGAGCCACGAGGACGACCCTCCTCCCACTCGCGCTCTGTTGCGCGTGTCAGGCTACCAGAGCCGAGGAACGCAAGACGTCTGAGGTCGTGGTAACTACTGCAGATTCGTGTCGTGTGTTGGTTCCTGGTACTGAGGGGATCATTCAACTTTGAACGATCGGACGTTTCCGTCATATCGCGGGACATCGACCGATTCTGGTTCGCCGGCGGCGTTCCACGATGAAAGCCAGCGGCGTGGTCGCCGTCAGTCGACACGAAGCGAACATGCCGTGGGCCGTGGGCGTATCCTCGGGGCCGCCGCCCAACGAGCCGCAACGGATCCGCCACAGGTGCGTGTTCTGATGCGCGTGATGCTCTTCAAGTCTCTGAACTGGTCAAGTACGTAACTTATACGAGCTCGTCGTTTCCTCCGCTTTTGCGCACGGATCTCCTGCTGTATAAGTTTGGTCAACTGCTTTCGAGTGTGATGGTCGTTGATTGGTGTCTGCTTACGCTGCTCCAGTAGGGAGTGCACTCGCTCATATCCTCTGTCTGGCGGGCGGTCTCCAAGTGGCTCCCCGGCAGTGCTGGCAGCAACGGCCTCGATGATAACGTTTTGGATGTGGTCGCTCAGTGCTTGTGGGCCGGATGGTAGCTCCTTTGGGTGCAGTCGTGGACGCTGGTGTTCGTGGTAGACGCTTGCGTTGGTGATTTAAACCGTCGGCCGGGGTGCTGAGTGCGAGCGCTGTCGTTGCTTGTCGTCGTGCCGTGGCCGCTTCGTTATCATGGATTCTGGTATCTTCAGGTCGGTGAGAACAGCCACAAGTCCCAAGTCGGACGTGTTGCTGGCTTCACCGTTCGTGCAATGTCGGAAAAGCTTGCGGCTCAGCAATATGTAGTCGAGCTGCTTCTCGTTGTCGCCGTTGGTGTACGTTATTTGCTTGTGAGCCGGCTTGCGGAAGAACGTGTTCGCGATTACAAGCCCTTCCTGTGTTGCCCAATGTCGTAACCAGGTGCCTCTTGAATTTTCGTTCCCATAACCGTGGCGGCCAACGTATCTTGAGGTGACACTGTCGTCGCCGTCGTTGTCGTTGTCTGCACAAATGGCTTGTGCCCCAACCTGTGCGCTGAAGTCGCCGGCGAGAATGATGTGACGTCGTGCTTTGATGCTCTCTCTCTCTCTCTCTCTCTCTCTCTCTCTCTCTCTCTCTGTGGATCTCATGGATGGCGTCGTACATGTGCTGAACGTGCGGGTCGCTGTAACCAGAGTGTGGACCAGTTGCAGTTTCAGCCGCCCCTTCTGCAATGACATTGTGGCTAGTCTCGGCGAAAATGCTTGGAATTTCTGTATCAGTTTGCCTCAGCGCTTGCGCATGAGAAATGCAACTCCGTGACACGTCCGGTCGTTGCCTGATCAAGCGAAAGTATGTCCCTCTGTGGTTGTCCATAGCTCCGTCGCCTTCGTTCTCCACGTCTCACTGATGAGCACGAAATCCCAATGTACGCCGTCAAGCTCTGTGATCAACTCTTGGATTCGGACGTCCGTCGTGAGCGACCGGGCGTTTTTGTGAATGACCGTCATGACATTAGGGGGGAGGGAGAGGGGGAGGGAGAGGAAGGGAGAGGACGGGAGAGGGGAGGCGGGGGAGGAGGGGGAGGGGAAGGAGAGGGAAAGGGGGAGGGGGGGCAGGGAGAGGAGAGGAGAGGGGAGGGCCAGGAGGGGGAATGGGAAGCCGTTGGAGCTGCCTGAGTTGGTCGGTGGGGTCGCTGCTGGTCGGTGTGGGTCAGTGCTGCTTGCCGTGGTGCTGTTGGTCGGTGGTTGTCGTTGCTCTGTGGTAGTGGTTGCTGGTCGGCTGGAGTCGGTGTTGCTTGTGGTGGTGCTGCTGGTCGGTGCCGGTCGATAGTGGGTGGCTGCTGCTGGTCGGTTGGAGTCGCTGCTGCTTGTGGTGGTGCTGCTGGTCGGCGCTATTCGGTGGCGAGTGCTGTCTGGCGGTGTTGGTCGGTTGGGGTCGGTGCTGCTTGTGGTGCTGCTGGTCGGTGGTCGGCGGTGGTCGGTGGAGTGTGCTGGTCGGGTGGGGTCGGCGCTGCTTGCGGTGGTGTTGTTGTTGGTCGGTGCTGGTCGGTGGCGAGTGGCGCTGGGAGTTGCTGGTCGGCTGGAGTCGCTGCTGCTTGTGGTGGTGCTGCTGGTCGGTGTTGGTCGATGGTGGGTGGTTGCTGCTGGTCGGTTGGAGTCGCTGCTGCTTGTGGTGGTGCTGCTGGTCGGCGCTGGTCGGTGGCGAGTACTGTCTGGCGGTTTTGGTCGGTTGGGGTCGGTGCTGCTTGTCGTCAGGCAATCCCAAAGTGAACCACATCCGTCTTGGAGGCCCCTTGGGGTCGTCACTGGCCGTCTTGGGCCATCCTGAGGCTATCTTGGGCCGTCTTGGGTGCATCTCGGGCCGTCTTGGAGACACCTTGGGGCCATCTTGGGCTCTCTTGGGGCCATCTTGGCCGTCTTAGAAACAATCTTGGGCGTCCTGGGGGTCACTTGAGCCGTCTTTGGGCCCTCTTAGGGCCGTCTTGGGGGCCTATGGGGCCGTCCTGAGGCCATCTTGGGGCCTCTTGGGGCGCTCTTGGGGGCCTCTTGGGAGCCCTGGAGGGCCTCTTGGGGGCCATCTTGGAGGTGGTCGGTGAAAAGAGGGGAGGTCCTCGATGTATCCCCCCCCCTGGGGGGCCACGATCCCTGTGAGGGGTCTCAAAAAATAGCCCTCGCATGGTCCGAAAAAGGACCCTCTAACCGATCGCGAACCCCCCGTCCAGGTCCAGGGGAGGGGGTCGGGGGAGGGGTGAACCCTCCCCGAAGGGGAAGAGGGGTTGTTGGAACTTGTTGGAAGAGGGGAAAGAAAACTCGTTACTCCTGTCGCCCAAAAGGCTGGTGAGATTTCCGAGCTCCAACTGCGCAAGGGAAGCGATGCTTTCCAGTGCTTTGCCCCCGCCTCTTGTTCCAGCAGTTACACAAAGATCAACGTGAAACGTTCGTGTCGTCACTTCTGGGTGGCCAAGACGGCCTTGCTGAATTCTGGTCTACGCCAACTGGGAAGAAGCTCGTTGCAGATCATCCTGTCCTTCGGCGTCGCGGGAGGGGAGACCTTTCGAGAAGTGTACCCATCGGCGTTCACGGAGATGGTGGGGAGTTTAGCCACCAAGACTCTGTGAACGTCATTGCTTGTGGGCTTGGGTAGTACGAAAACAACGAGGCGAATATTGGCATTGATAGAGAAGTCATAACTTCGGTCCGATGGTTCAACTTGGAATGCGTTGTTCAAGATTTTTGGGTGGTCAGTCAATGCACTTCTGACTGGTCGTGAACCAGATCGAGATTGGGAAGATAATGCTACTGGAGAGACGTCGGATGTGCTTGCTGATGGGTTCTCTGCAGCTTTGGTACACGTCCGGGGCGACTGGGCATTATATTCGGACATAATGTTTTTCCCGCGGTCAAACGAAGTGGACAACATGTGTTGGATGTGCACTGCAGGTATAACCAAGAACGTATATACGGATGCTTCAGACACAGCGCTGTGGAGGCGGGGGGTTCGGACTCACTCGTGTTTTGTTGCCGACCGTGCGAGGAAAGGCAAGCCAGAACCCCCGGTATTCAAGTGGTGCACTGGGCTGTATCTGCAGCACGTCATGATTGATGCATTGCACACTGTTGACATAGGAATTTGCGCGCAGGATCGATCATGAAAGAGTGCTCCGAGGCCATGGGAACAAACACCGACGAGCGCATGAAAGCAATGGCGGCCATGCTCGAATCAGGGTACTCGTCTCAAGGCAGAGACATCTATTGGATCAAGGGCAAACTTACTTCGGAGCGCCTGAAATCATCGTCCGGATGGGCGAAGTTCAAGGGAAAGGCCGCAGAGACACGTCATCTGATTGGTTTTGCTGTAGTGCTTGCTACGAAGTACTTTGATGCATCTACTCCTGCTGCTCGGATACATTCCGAGCACCGCCTTGCGTGTGCCAAAATATTGGAGCGATCCTAGTTGTTGCTTAAGCAAGGCGATCTGTTTCTCTCGCGCGAGGTTGTTGCTGATATTAAGCCAATGGTGAAGCAGCTTGTTGTTATCTTCAACGCATTAAGCGACGAAGCGATTCGAGGCAAGGTAAAAACTTGGAAATTCTCATCCAAGTTCCACCTTTTGGGTGCACATTTGCGAGGTGCAATCAGAACTATTCAACCCGATAGCCTTTTGGACCTGTGGAGACGAGGACATGGTGGGGCAAGTGTGCGAGGTTGCTGAACGCTGTCACGCCAATACGGTTGCCGAGACATCATTATATAAATACTTACTTCTTCACTTCGAGGTGTGATTTGCGCCGAAGGGCAAAGAAAACAATCATCGATCATCATCACACCCCACCCCCCTTCCTCCTCTCTGCCTCCTCCCTTTTTTTTTCCTCCTCATCCCCCTCCCTCCCTCCTCCCCCT